ACTCATAAAATAGATTATTCTGTTAGCGAAGTCAAACATAATAAAAGCGTAAAACCGATCTCTAGATGTCAAAGGGCGAGGAGTGCCATCGCCATGTAGTTCAAACGACAGCAAACATCATCAGAGTAAGAAAAAAGCTCCTAAACACCGACAGTTTCTTTCATGTCTTCCTGCGACCGTGACAAGAGCGAATTTTACAGTGAGGGAGATCACTTTCAGGCCATAAAGACGATAACAGCTCAGAATGAATGAACTCTGATCACATGATCTTTTAAGGACATCAGGCCAAAGTCTGTTGAAACATGTACTATAGCACGTTGTGGCTCCGAACCACTGATAGGACAATGCTCTTTGAATAAATATATATGGGGCAAAAAAGGTGACAAGTTCTAACTTTTCATCAGTTATTTTCAACATTAATTTCCTCAATAAAAGAATGATTTACTTATTTATAGAAATTAATGATTTGCTTTGTTTGATCTGAAACAAAAGTTCATTCAGGAGAGGCTTAGAAAAAAAGATAAGATAACAAATAAATAATGTGCTCTAAAATAAAGAGGGTTCTTTTGTCATTGGTGCCAGGCTGCAGGAGAGTGGCACCGAGCATCACGTCTGTCATACTAAGGCCTGAAAGCTGAGCTGAAAGCCTGCATGTTGTGTGTGTTGTGGCTGAAAAACACAATGCCTTTGTCTTTACAGATTCAGAGCTACTTTTGTCTCAAGAGTAGAAATAATCCACTCAACAGATGAGGTCGTTTGATGCAAACAAAATGGATTTAACTGCAAGAATCCTTAGCTTCAATTCAAAGCCTTTTACTGAAGGTTGGAGGTTGAAACTTCTAGAAAAGTGGTTTTCTTAAAACCAATTTTTTGACTTGAATGTTGATTTCTGATATTTTGTACAGAAACACAGAGCTGCAGGTAATGTAGTGGTGGTGGCCTAGTGGTTAGGGCATTGTGCTTGGGTCCAAGAGGTTCTGAGTTCAAGCCCCACTACCACTCTAGTTCCCTGAGCAAGACCCTTCACCCCACACTGCTCCCTGGGTGCTGCACAATGGCAGCCCACTGCTCCCCAAGGGGATAGGTTAAATGCAAACCTTGCAAAAATGCGAACATGTTAAATCTTAGATTTCTGTCATTTACAGAGTTAACATTTATGGTAACAAATTCTCCAACATACTTGTAGAAAGCAGCTTCCAATGTCCAAGTGTTCTGGTATGGACACGTTGTACAGCTGCTGCTGGAACACTGGTTCATTGTCGTTAACGTCCTCCACCAGCACTGTAACTGTAGCAGTAGCAGATAATGTTGGCTCCCCTCCATCTTCTGCCAGGACCAGGAACCACATCTCCACCTGAGTCTCCCTGTCAAAATCTGCAGCTGTAATGACCAGACCAGATTCCTGGTCAATTCTGATCAGGCCCTCCTGGTGTGATTTCAAGATGGAGTATCTGATTTCTGAGTTGACGCCTTCATCAGCATCTTGGGCCTTGATCTGTAGTAGGGAGCTACCAGGAGGAGCGTCCTCAGCAATGCTAACAGTGTATACATCCTGTTCAAAGACTGGGTGGCAGTCGTTAGCATCAGACACCTTCAGGATGAAAACCATCTCACTACTCAGAGGAGGGCTTCCAAAATCGGATGCTTGCACCTTCAGCTCATAGAGATCCCTTTCTTCTCTGTCCAGCTCTGAGTTAACACACAAGGCATACAGAAAATCGTCTGTTTGCTTTAGGGTAAACTTCCCCTCTCCTCCCTCCAGGAGAACGGTGATTCTGTGCTCCTCCAAGTCTGGGTCTGACACCGAAATCCTGGCAATAAAGTCTCCAACAGCTGCTGCCTCTGACACCACTGCTTCTCCCGTCTCACTGAGAAACAGCACACTGATTGTGGGGCTGTTATCGTTGATGTTAAGCACCTTGACACCCACAAAGGTGCTGCTGTACTCAGGCTGAGCACCATTGTCTCTGGCGCTGACAATCAGCTCATGAAAAGGATGAGCTTCAAAATCAAGTGGCTTGTTGAGATAAATTAATCCAGAGGTTTCATTTATGGAGAAAATATGGTTTGGGTCACTCTGACGCCTATTAATCTCATAAGTGATCCTGCTGTTGTCGCCCAGGTCATGGTCACTGGCCAGCACCTGAGAGATGACAGACCCAACCGGAGCATCCTCGCGTACTGAGGTGTGGTATTCACTCTGGTTGAACACCGGAAGGTTGTCATTTTCATCCAGGATGCGGATGTCCACCTGGACTGTCCCGGTCCTGGCTGGGATCCCCCCATCAAAAGCCTCAATGGTCAGGGTGAAAAAGTCCTGGGTCTCTCTGTCTACCTTGCTGTTTAGAACAAGATCCAAGCTGTGGTGCTTCTCAGATCCCATTCCAAAATCCAACTGGAACAAATCTTCTACCTCAGTCTCTTTAATCCTGTATCCCTGAGTACTGAACTCCCCCTCATCTTGGTCTTTTGCACCTTCAAGCTGAAAGCGACTCCCCAGAGGACTCAGCTCTGAGATTTCCAGCTCCACTCTTTTACTGGGAAACACAGGTGAGTGGTCGTTCACATCCTCCACCTCTATCCTCACCCTTATCACCTCTCCTGTGAGAGTGGCAGCTACAAACTCATACTTGTCTCTGCTTTCTCTGTCCAGGACCACCGCCGTGGAGATGATCCCTGTGTCTACGTCTATCTCCAGGTCTCTAAACACATACGAGTCTCTGCTCTCTGAGATGAAGAAGCCGGTGGTGGATGTTCTCAGAACAGCTCCCAGATCTCCAACGATGGTTTTAGCGGGCAGACCCTCCTTCACAGACAGTGTTAGGTTGAAGACCTGTCCGAGTGAGTGGGTGCAAAACGGTGCCAGGAGGAGCAGATAAAGGAGCACAGTCCTTGGATCCATGACTCCACACATGGCTTTAGGATCCTTAAGCATACGGTGCAGCAAGACTACATATTGTTTTATGCATCAATACAGACTTAGTTAGGTTTAAGAACAATTTAAAAACTGTTTAAAAGCAAATAAACTTATCTTGTATCTATGCAGACTCCAATATGGATCCATTTGTGTTTGAGTTGCCTTTTCAAGAAAAAATAAAATCCTGAAACCTAAGGACAGTGCTGCGTAATTCCACTGACATCTCTCGCATAACACAGCACCTACAGATGCCAAGTCTGCTCACTGAAAGCTCCTCCCTGCAACACACACCCACCTACCCCCCCACCCCCATTCACACACACACATCCACGTTGATCGGTCCCATCTGTGGCCATGATTGCTTCAAATCTAATTAAACCAACAGATTACCCTGCACTCTGCTCTACTGGCAGGTGGCCTCTAATTCCTGACCTGCTGTCACCTCATCAAAAAGGAAACAGTGTAAACATGCAGGTCATTATAGAGAACAGGAGTTAATGTTAGCCTAATGGACTCAAAAGAGGTGGATTTATAATCCAACAATAAGTGTTTTGCTTTGGCAAGAAAATATACAAATATAGTGTCTCCCTCTGCTGGTAGTTAGGAAGATAAACACAAAACTGTTTTTTTTTGTGTGCATCTAAAAGGGCTTTAGACAGTTTAGTAAATACATTACTTCATTAAAATATGAATAGAAATAAAAACAAAAATTATTTTTGCTTTAAATTTTTTTTGCCATTTAATACAATTTAATATATATATAGGCAATCATATGTTTAGTATTAGATTTTTTTTTCTGAATCTACTTCAACACAGGAAACGGGAAATAAATCCTGAAATAATTATATACAATTTTGTGAAGTCTCATTTATCAAATTTAGCACTAGATAATTTTACTATGAATTCATAATTTGTCTGCACACGTTACACATCACAGATAATCAAAACAACTAATTCTATTATTCAAAAGTATTTTACAAAAAAAAATTATATTTAATTACTATATGTTGGAAATTTTGTATAGACTGTGCGGTGCCATTTATAAATGTAACTCAAAATTCAGTAATGACTTTTAAAAAGATTAAGTTAAGAGAATGAAGCACTATTTATTCACATTTATCTAAAAGTAATGATTTTGTTCAACATTTATTATAATAGAAAATTAATCTAAGTAGAAACATGAAAGCATGTTAAACCTAAAAGCAAATATGGTGAGTATAGAAATTTGTTTAGAGGCAAATACATTTAAAAATGAAAGTGTGATGCTAAACCCCCTAAATATATTATACATGTTTATATAACTACATTAAGAGGAGGAAGTTGTATTGCTTGTTTTGTTCTTTAGTATTTTGTCAGGGAAAAATGAATCATCAAAACAGTTTTGGTAGTTGAATGTCTGGAGTGTTACTTCTATGCCAAGTTGTGAAGATATCAGCAATGGCCTTAAAGGAGCAACTATTGCTGCCCATGAAACAGGGTCATAAAATCACATACCGGTACTTTCCACACAAGAGATATTAAACTAACACTGAGAGGACCAGTTACTAATAGTTCTACAGTTCAGGGGTTGGATATCACGGTAACAGTATTCTATTTAACATGCAAATGTGGTGGTGGTCAACCTAATGTTTTATTTACCTTTGTTGTTGCATTCTGAGGTGAAAATTCCTTTCATATAAAGCTTAAAATGTTGCTTCACCTTTATCTTTTTAATAAACTCATTCAACTGCTGGACTTAAATCATCTACAGGTGGCTCTGCTCTATATACATCCCGTCTGTATAGGAACCCTGCCTTTAGAAATTGGATATATGCAGAATATTTTACAGTTAAAAGTTAATCATGGACTCCTAGCTTAATCAATAATGTTATTGAGTTGCCCTCACAGGTGAACAGTTATTAAAAGTACAGTAACAGCAGACATACAGCGGAACTCAATAGATGTCTTAAGACCAGTTACTGGGAAATTAAGGGTAGTGGCTGCAAAACCTTCACTCCAGGATATCTTTCATCAACATGTCTCTGAGGACCTGAAACTTATTTTATAAAACAAAACATAAAAAAACAACAACAGATTTGTGAAAAAAAAGTGTTTTATTGGAGCAAAAGAAAGTATTCATGTCTGTACAACTAACCATCTTGTAGAAGAAATATTGAGAATTTTTCTGGCTTCTGCAAAATGTTTTGATCCCAGATAAACACAGAATCCTCTGGATGTTTAGGGTGTTTCCAGGTGGTGTCATGAAGTCTGAGTTGGAGTTTTTCTTTAGTCTGACAGCATAAATTGGTGACTAATTGTTTTGTAGAATAATTGAAGTCAAGATGGGATAGCCTGTTTGAAGTCTAACAAAATCAATGCTGTTTGCTGACCGAAAAAAAAACAACCTGATGGATGTACTGATTGATGAGCAATACATAAAAAAAACAAAAAACAAAACAAAATCAGAATCTTTTTCTCTTGAGGATTTCTGGTTTCCAGTTTATTGGGTGGCTTTCTTCAGTCTGCAAGAAAAAAAAAAAAAAAAAAACATTAGCTTAATTTCTTAGAGATGGCTTACAAACAGGAGTTGATTTAACAGCAACAGGAAAACTTACGGCTGTGTCATCTTCTTTGTAAACTTTGATGGTTTTGTCAGCCTCTGCAGTGATTAGTCGGCTCTCAGAGTGGTCAAACATGCAGGCAAAGATTCCTGACTCGCTGTCAAGAGATCCAGGCTGCACGGCAGCGTGAATCCGCTGGAAGTTGTAGCCTGTCCTCCAGTCCCACATATGCATAGTTCCATTGTCAGCTGGAATACAAACAAATCATACTGTAGAGCAGGGGTAACCTATTCAAAATCAGCAGGGTTCGAATAAAGAAAATCATCAACGAACAATGGTCCGGTGACATTTTTAATTATAATCTGTTACTTTAAACCAAATTTAACACTGAAATAAAAAGCAGGTTTTTATGCATCCATATTACACATTGAATTTTTAAATAAAAACAATATATATACACAAAAAAAATTTTCCTTTTTCCTTTTTAAATCTAAAGTGTTTTTTGAAGTAGAGAGCAACAATCGTTTAGTTTGGTATATGGCCATTTTCCTGTTTCCCTTTTTTTTTAAACCCCTTGACTTGCCTTTTTTTTTTTTTTTTGCTTTATTAGGGGCGTTGGGTTTTGGGTTGCCCTGCAGGGTTTTAATCTTGGTTTTGATTGTTGCCAAAGCATTTTTCAGGCCCCCTTCAAGTTTTTCTTTTTGGGCTTGGTTCATTCTTTTTTTTTTATCATGTTAATGGTGGAAAATACTGCTTCACAGCAGTAGGTTGAGCCAAACATACTCAGCAGTCCACACTTTCTCTACTTTCTTTTTCTCATCATCTTCTCCTTCTTTCCCATCACCCGTCTTGCCACAGGTTTCCCTGCTGTGTCTAAAAATAGCTTGCAGCAGCGACCCTGACTGGCACAGCTCATTGGCTAATTTGTACCACGCGTAGCCTGGTCCCCGTGCTCCGGACAGCTTTCCCATATTAACAGGAGAAGCGGCGCAAGTGAAGTTAGACACTGTCTTCAGACAACATGTGGTAATTTATAAATATTTTAAATCAGGTTTGGTCCAGATTAGCCAGAAGGTGGGTCCGAATCTGAACCGCGGTCCACTAAACCGTGCGGTTCAAACCGAGTGAACGCTGTATATTCTGGATCCTGCTGCAGCAGAGACAGAGCAGAGCTAATCCAACTCAGCCAACAGCTGAACAACGTTTGCCCCCGATCGCTGCTCACCGAAGAAACCGTTAGAAGCTGCCCGACCGTGACCACCTGAGACGGGAGGGATGCAGCGGTACCGAAGCAGTGCTGCCAGAAGCTGTGGCTACAAGCTAACCGCCATAGCTAAAAGGGAGACGTCCCGAGCTACAGTGAGTTATAAAATTAACCCCCTTGCAAATCCCCCCTTATTGTTTCATCGGATTGATCCAAATCTCTTTGAGCCGAGCCGAAGGCCTTCGTACCACCGAACCAAACAGTAACATCACTCTTCCCCCTCCTTCACATCCGATGTTTAATAAGTGCTCTGCTTGCGTGAACTAGGCAGAATAGATAGCTATGTTGCTGTTTTTATTTGAAATAAGCTTTCTGATTCAACTGTTGACTATTTTAAGGTTTAACTGAATGCTAATGCTCACTACAGACCGAACGAGTCACGTTCTGCCTACAGTGTCTCTAGGTCTTATCAAAGATGTTAGATGTTTCAGAAGTGAATGGAGATGTTTATTTTATTTTTCTCCGTAGCTGGGTGTGAGCTGCTTTGCTCATATATTATATTGATTAGTGAGCATAGTCTTTCAGGCTTAAACATATGAAAGTTGTTTATGAAAAACTAAAAGAGGGAATGATAGAGAAACTGAAACATGAGACATGAACTCATTGACTGTGAAATATGAGGGAGAGATGATCACCTGCATTTCATATTTTGAGCTTGTAGCCGATAATAAAAGTGTTTCTCCTTGAAACAACCATTTCTAAAACTAAATATTGGAAGAGTTTCATAGATGTGGTAGAATCATTTTTAGAGCATGCACTTGTTGTCGGCATTCTTGGTGATTTTTCTGAGGCTTTAACATTGTTTCTACTGATATCGTGACTATACTGCATCGACTGAAATAGAAAAATATATTGTGATAAAAGTCTTTTCCGTATCGTCCAGCCTTAATCAAGAGCTGAATTGTGCTGAAATATATTAGGGAAGACAGAAGGTGTTTTTTTAATTACCCCCAGACACTAAGACACCATCAGAGTTGACAGCCAGTGTGTTGATTATGGCGTTGTGGCCAGAAAGGTTCTGGATAAAGTTGCCATCTGGGAACATCCACTGCTTGATGTTATCAGCTGATCCAGAAGCAAATGTGTATCTATAAAAAATAAATCAGAAATTACATAAAACTGCATTTACAACAATTAAATATATATATATTGCAGAGAGCTGCATTGAAAAGCCTAGACAGAGCTGAAGATAAAAGCACAAATATACGTATGAAAGCAGTTTAGTGCACTCTTCAAAGGATTTCTAAACACATTTCTAATAAAAATTCCAGACTTTTCCAAAACAAAGTTCCATATTCCCATTTCCTGTGTGTTAATTTTAATAATTATAATCATTATAATAATAATTAATAAACGCTACAGCGCTCATTGCAAGAGTAGGAAAGACATTTTAGAGTCTTTAGAAGAGTTGCAAAAGAAATGGATGAAAGGATCGAGGGACTGACAATCATAAGTAAGGAAATAATGACCACAAAGAAGGAAAAAAAAGCTCTAAGCTAGGAAACAAACATGGATGGAAGGAAAGGATTAGGAAGGGGGAATTTAAGATGGAATAAGAACAGAGATGTTTACAAACAATACATGTAAGAAACAAGAGCAAACATGAGGAAATGGGTAAAAAGATTATTTCTTTTACCCATCTAAAAGACTAAATAAAAAAAAAAAAAACATTTTCAGAGTTATTTAGACATCACAGGATCAGAACAAAAACTCAATACTTACTGTCTGGGGTGGAGCACCAGGGTTCTGACAGACTTTTTATGGTTCGTCAAAGTCGCTCTGGTTTTTCCAGCAATCAGATCCCATAATCTGATAGTTGAATCATGGCTGCCTGCAAAAATCAGGCAGTTGGAGAAAATTTAAAGGCTGCAACTCTAAAGTAAAACTGAAAGAGTGTTAAGAGTACAGGAACTCTGTGTTCTCAAAGATATTTACCTGTGATGACTTGCGGCTCAGCTGCCTGACACCTTACTGTGGCGACAGTGTTGGTGTGACCAGTAAGCGTGTGAACGTTTGCTTTAGTCCTGATGTCCCACACCTGCAAATAAATCAATATTAAACAAACCAGCTGATATATGCGTCAAACTACTCTCCTGACTGGTGACATGGTTTAAAACAAAAGCATTTCCCCACTGATGTAAAACCTATGTGGTTCTTCCTCTAGTGGTTAAAAACAGTCATCTCAAGTTTGGATAGAGATTTCAGACATCAGACAAAAAGAAAATGTCGGATGATCTAAAAGTTTTGATTTAGGCAAAGAGAAAAAAGCAGTCTGTTCCATCTTGTTAATTTAGCCGGCCGCTGTAGAAGGAGCGATGTCAGCAGTGGGGCTGCACTTATGGTTAAAGTCCAGAACAGGTCATGCACAGGTTTTCCACGTTCCAATTTATTATTGTTCATTTTTTTCAATCAGAAATGAAAAAGTTTTATTTGGAAAACCAAAATTTCACAGTTTGTTTCAAATAGAACTGTATTCATCAAAACTTTTTTTGTACTTCTGAAGGAAAAAAAAAAAACGATCAACTCGTGTAACAGATTAGTTACAAAAACTACAGCTGGCAGACATCTTTTCTTCCATGTCATGCTGTTCCAACCAAATGTTTAAACATTTCAGTTCAATAAAAACTGGTTTAACATGAGTCCTGTCACCTCTGCAGTCCATACAACATCTCAGTTCATAAGCTGTCCAAAATATTTTACTGATGAGAGTCTAAAATAACAGGAGTGTGACAAAGCCGCCAGCCTCTACTTGGAGTTTGGAATAAAACCAATAGAACAGGAGTGACCTGGTTAGTTACTGGTTACCCATCCGAAAGGAGATCTTACCCTTGCTGAAGCATCTCTGCTGCATGTCACAAGCACATCAATCGTTGGATGTAGATCCAAATCGTACACAGCACTGAGGTGGCCATGGTAATGCCTGATTACCTGCAAGTTACAATAACACCGTCACAGCACAGACAAATCATAATTAAATGGAGAAAACAATGAGGTTTCCAGACAGAATAAAACACTTCTTCACCAAAATATAAATTTTTTTAATGCAACATCTTCAAAACCTGCTGAGCAAACTTATTTGAGGAGTGTACCTTGTTGTACTCCAAGTCCCAACATTTGACTTGCTTGTCCTCTCCACAGGAGAAGAGGTAAGGGCTGCGGGTGCTCACCGCCACGCCACGCACCGTGCTGATGTGTCCAGTCAGGGAAAGTTTCAGCTTTCCACTGGCCAGGTCCCAGATCTGTACAGACAACATTTACTTATAATGCTGATGTCATCACAGAGTGGTAGAGAAAATATCTCTAAATATGAGACCTTTGCAGTATCATTATAGAAGCTCATTAACATGACCTCAAATCCTTAGAGGAACAACTTTAACATACATTATAATGCTGGTATCAATCATTGTAAATCAACTACACCAATAGAAATTAACAACTAGAATGAGCTATACTATAATACAAATAAGGATCTAGAAAATTTCCTGCAACATACATTTCCTTTAGCCTTGTTCATTGTGAAAACATTGAAAATAGTTTTGAAAGACTAAATTAGAAACTTCTTCTCATAATCTAATGTTTGAATCGGCACAGCTTACCTTTATAGTTCTATCAGCAGAGCCAGTGACAAACCACTGATTCCCAGGTTCCACTGCTATGGACCTCACCCAGCCGAGGTGACCGCTGATGACCTGTAGACAACATACACCTCAGTGAATAAGATAAGTAGAAAGTCCCCTTTAACTCACAGTTTTTGCCTTTCAGGTAAAAGAGTTGGTAACAAATTAGCTTGTAGGTACTCGAAAGAGTTTCCAGGGTGGATGCCACTGTGGTTTGGGCATTGTTGGTGCCCTCCTCATGAGCGCAGAATTCCTGGTACCTCCGCCCTCCAGCAGTGACTAAAATAAAGAGACATGGTACATAGATTGGTCTGATTGTCAGTTATAAAATCTTGTGTTCTGAATAACTATCTTGCTTTTTAATAATCTTTAGTTTTATTAACCAAAATTTATTACATTTACTCTACTTTTGAATATAGCCAAGGTTACTTTAACCATCATGAAACACTAACTTATTTTAGTACTTTAGTAAGTACTTAATACTTAATAAAAAGAATTGAACAATTTAACTTGTTTATCTTGCTCTAGACTTCCTTTAGTATGATAAAGATGACCGTTATACAAGAATATGGGATGATTTGAAGTTTACCACAGCAGTGGACTGAGGGTAAACTCTCTCCCCTCCTCCTGCATGTCGATGGATTTCTGCAACACTGGCTGCTGTGCGACTTGCCTCCTGCCTGTAGTTTCACAACAAATTATAATCCATGATTAGTTTAAATCACTTATTTCCATATAACCGTATACCATAACAGCATGTTTGAGCACTTTACCTGACTTGTGAAGGCGGTAAAGCCAGCGCCATGGACAGCACTCCTCCCTCACTGGGGTTCCTGTGCATCTTTGTGTCGGCTGTCAGAGCCACTCCTAACAATTAGAAAAAGCATTAAGTAACCCTCTTTGATTCACAAAAAAGCTACAAATACTGTGGGCAGACAAAGGAAGGGGTATTTACCAGGTCCAGAAGGATAAGCATGTGTCCCAGTAATCAGATATTCTGCTGCATCGTCTAAAAATATTTTTTTTTATAAAAAGAAAAAACAGTGTTTTGGCAACAGGCTCAGAACAACAGATCTAATGTAACAATGTTTTTCAAACAATATTTATACTGGAGTCTGTCATTTTAACAATCTTATCAATCATCAAACCTGGATGAGTGTAGTCCTGATGGATTTCCTGTCCGCCAGAAAGCTGTGAAACTCTGTCTCTCCCCTCCACAATGGGTATGTGTAGAACCGGACCATACTCAGTTTTCAGCTTTACAGCCATCTTCATTTTGTGGCTGTAAATTCAGGAAACAATGAAAAAAGTTTTATTAAATGTCTTAAGTGAATTTTCATTTACATTAAATTACACTTAGTCTATTGAATTAATAAATACTTGAAAAGAGAATAGCTCTATGGAGGGCAACGAGTGCCACAATACAAAAAATAACTTCAAATTAATTGAATGTGTATATATTTCTGTGCTTAAGCACAACATGAATTAATGCAACTGTCACAAATCTATCAATTTCAAGGTTGAGGGACTTCAAAAAACTTCCAAAGAAACAATCAGCTGCTTGTGATGGAGAAATATGCATTTTAAAGAGGTTACTCAAGCATGGGCATCATTATTCTAATGGACAAACACAAAACCCATAAAAACCAACAGACTTTAACAAACCATAAGAAGGATGTTTGGGGAAAGTATAGGAAGCCCTCTGAGTGCTTAAAAAACTCAGCAATCTAAAGCTACATTCACACTGCAGGCCTTGATGCTCAATTCCAATTTTTTTTTTGTGAAATCCAATTTTTTTGCGTTGCCATTCACATTTCCAAATATATGCGACTTGTGTGTGATCTCCTGTGTGAACTGCAGTCATACAACGCAAGTGTCCCACATGCGCAGTAGAGGACGCAATGACATCACAGGCCAGCGTGCTCTGTGTTTACGGAAGTAAACATGGATGGTAGTGCCATAAAACACAATCTTTTCAAGATGGTTAAACATAAATACTGCTCTCCACATCATCGTCCACCATGTTTGTTGTTTTTCTTGCTGCTTGTTTATAGCAAGACCCAGAATAGTGACATTTGTCAGATATTAATGGCGTTCAGGTTGAATGAATGCGACCTGGCCGTTCAGACACAGGTCGCATTTGAAAAGACCTGATTCGTATCGGATTCAGGACCACATAGCCAAGTGGCCTGGGTAGCATTGGAAAAAATCGGATCCGTGTTCAGATCAGACAGCCATGAAAAGATCAAATACAGGTCGCATATGGGCAAAAAAAAAAAAAAAAACATCGAATTTGGGTTACTTCAGGCTGCAGTGTGAATGTAGCCTAAGTACAGGTTGTTGTAGAGTGAGCAAACAGAGTTACCAAATACTCCTGTATAGGTGTCAAAACGTTTTCAGAAAACTGAGAAAGACAGGTTGCCTTCAATTTAAGCCCGTTTGTGGTTGCCATGAATGAGAATTTGCAAATGCTAATGAATACTACAGTTTGTTTTGAAAGGATAATACTTTTACTTCTTTTAAGGCAAAAGAGGCTCTGTTTCAGACCCTAGGGCTGATCTGAACTCCCTTCATTTGTTAAAATCTGCCCCAATATTTATCCATCTACTTATTTTGTCGCCCACTAGACTCCAATTTGGCCTATTTCTCACACTAGATACTTTTTCTGACTGTGTTAGTGAAGATTCTCAGCCATCCAGCTCATAGTCATTCCAAAAAATAAAAAAACACTGGACTTTGTTTTCCAAATGTGAAGACATTTCGCCTCCCATCCAGGAAGCTTTTACGATTCATTCTCTGACTCTTATGTTTGGAGCCTGAAGTAGGGTTTGAGGGACATTTGAGGCTGATCGCTAATGCTCCATTTTCGAACACTGTCAATTGAATTAAAGGATGCTCCCTTTTAACAACCTACGTGTAATTTGGATCATATTTGTTCTAGATATTTAAAATCTACGTGTTCCCCGAATGACCTAACCCTCAAATAGAAACACATTTTCACTTTCATTGTTTGAAACATTGAGATAAATCAATGGAAATAAATGTAGTAAATCTGTCGAATCATTAAACTATTTTAAGCATCTATTGAGAGGTTTCAGGTGATATTTTACCTTTCTTCATCCAGAGCGACGGTCTTAGCATGGTCAGACACAAACATGTCATGGGTCCTTTTCAAAGACCTGAAGACCAGAGTGTGGACGGAGTGCTTCTGGACTTCCTGTGCAAATATATAACACAGACTTAAAACAAACTCAACAGATGAATGAAAACACCACGCTTGTTTCAATAAACTTAACTGTACCATTTCAATAGGGCTTGGGCGTCATGAGGTAATTACTAATTAAATATAAATACTGCCTGTTCCAGCAATTAGCCAGGCCCAACAGTGTGTGTGCGTAGCCCTCAACTTAGCGGGAGCAAACATACGCCAAAACGGAACAACACAAAAGTCTTACCTCGGTCATTGTAGGGATGAATTGTGCGGCTTATTGTAAGAAAGAAACCAGATTTAGAAAGATTTCTGAGATAATACCACTCCTACCCGAGTTGAAACACAAGTATAAAAGCAACGCCGATAACCCGGAAACAAACCCTCTAACGGTCAACAGGGGAACATCAGCGCCCTCTTGCGGCCAGGATGACTTAGTCTATTTCAACAGACGTCTCAAAATGCGAACTGGGACATAACAATCATTTGGAAGTTATATAATCTAAATGTTGTGTTTAAACTTGTTAAATTCTCAAATTTTATGAAAAAAGGGAACATATATATATATATATATATATATATATATATATATATATATATATTAATTAATTAATTTAATTTTTTTGTATGGTCTAACCTTTGGGTGCATATGTTAGGATGTCAGCTTACTGGAAAACTGTTAGTTGCCTTGAAGTGCATGTGCTGATGAAGGTTGAAGTGCATGCTTCTAATAATGGTGAAATCAGAATATTTGAAAAAGACACCATAATACTCCCAAGATGGACGGGGAGTAGCTATTTGCTATCTAAGGTTCCCTCATCATTATTTAATCATATGGAAGCAGCAAACATGTACTTGCTTCTTTACACATAGCTTTTCTATTTGCTTTTGTTTATCTTTTATAAGTAATGGTGGCTCACATTATTTAATGTCTGTTCTAACAATTCAAGTTCTTCATGCATGACTATGTGCCCGTCTTGGGCACATAGTCATAATAGTCATAATAGTCATAATAATAATAGTCATAATAATGTTTTTAATAATCCAAATAGTCTGAAGTCTTTGATTAGCAATAATGAAATCATACGACAAAATAATTGAAACAGAGATTAAAAATGTTGTCCGTTTATTTCATGTTTGCTTTCAAATTCTTGTCTTTACAGTGCAGTTAATATCAAATCTAAGAACCTGACATAAAACGGAAGACATCATGGTCAGTGGGTGAAACATGCCTAAAAGAAGAGCTAATCTCAGAGTTATGGTAGGTCAGATTAACAAATTTTATCTATTAAAAGGGAGAAAACACAACCATCACAGAGGGACCCGCGATAAGACCGCTGGTTACAAATGTTTTTCCAGTTTATGCATCTCCAAGTCCTCCAAACTGTTTAATCCCAGTTTGCTGTCCGCCTCCTGCTGTGATGCGGCTCAGGGGAATGATCTTCATGGTGGTCTCTTTCAGGGAGTACCAGCGACTGTGCCATGTGACCCAAATGATGCCGTTGTCGAAGCCATACTCACCAGCATCCTTCTCAGTGTACCTGCCACCTGGAAGGACACAGAAAAGACAATTCAAACATCAAATGATTCAAGAGTGTAAAGTTCCCAGAAAGGGTTTCGTTCTTCTGCTTCAGCATCTGCAGCTTTGTAACTGGTTTTAGTCAGAGCACATTACCTGTGTAGTATTTGCCATTCAAATGTGCAGCGTGGCATCTGTTCATCCACCAGCCAGAGCCATCCTGCTGAGCACAGTTCCCAGCATACTTGTCATTGTCCTTGTCATGAGTACTGAACTGCATGCCATTGTGGGACGTATAGAACTTGTCACTGGGATCGTCTCCAAAGTCAAAGCCATCAAAGGCATCGCCGGCATCGCCACCGAAGTAGTAACCATACGTTAGTCGGTACATGTCGGCCTCCGAGCCAATTCTGAACATATTGTAGTCAGCGTACCTGCAGGTAAATAGGAGTTGTTTTTGTTTTTTGTCTGCTCTGATTACTCATTTGCTCTTTAGGGAGAAAACAGATTTCTAAGGGGTCATGTTTGCCAACTGTTCTTACACAACATGAGTGTGTGGGTGGTTGTGTGCTTGTACTTTTTGTTACCGTCCCAGTCCACAAGCTCAACCCTTAGCACAGTTGGGAGGGATGAACTTGTTGTCAGCAGGTGGATCTTCTCGTTACCGAGCCAAAATTCTGTTGTGTCATCAGGGGAAAGATACCCGAAGCCCTCCTTGTACTGGATCCAGTCTTTAGAGAAGTCCACACTGCCATCCTGTCTCTGTGGACATGGAAAATTTGTGAGACTCAAGACATATAGTTACTTTCAGATATGGAAAATCTAATTATATCAATGGTAATTTACAAAATAAAACACAAGTGAGTGCAAACCAAAACCAACAATAACCTAATGGATGTATACCCTTTGTATGACGGTGAAGCCACGACCAAAGCTGTCAATCTCACAATAGACTAAGAACTGCTCCTGTGCTTTGGCTGGCTTCACATAGTAAAGACCACTGGTGGTGGCACCTTTGTTTGCAACATCCTGGCAATCTGATGACAAAACAACAACAAAAAATTAACTCTGTGAACAATTTACTACATAAAATTGCAAAGTTTAGTTTTTAAAACAACAAGGTTAAACCTTTAGGCCTTATCCAAAGCAAACATTGGTCTGCTGCTATGAAACAGTGTATTGATTTTTTTTTTCTTTTAACCAAACATTGAACAGTAGCAAATGTTCTTCAGAGGCCTGATGAAGAAATCTCTTGTCAAATGGTAACAGGTGAAAGGTCAAGATGTCAGGATGTCTGTTTTTTTTGCTCTCAGTTTATTTTTTTTGTACCTGTTCCTGTGAGAGTTTGGATTTGGACTGTGTCTCTGCAGGGCTGACTGCATTTCTGCTGTAGCTGAAGGGCCATCTTCTTCAAATCTGCCATCCGCCTCTCATTGGATGAGATTACACTCTGCAGTTCTCTGAGGAGACGAACACACATGTGCTTTGTGTCTGGTCAGATGTAAATAAACATAAATTAAGAGAAATAAAAATACACTTTTTTTTAAATTAATAACTGCGTATCCTTTTTTTTCTTCTGTACAGCTAAGTTTCAAAATGTTTGTCCTCTCCATATCGTTTAGTCATGTCTACTTGTCTTTGCTACCGTCACAACCAATTTTTCACTTTGGGACATTAAAAGAATTTTAATGTCAGCAATAAAGGAAAAAATATATATATAAGAATGATCATAAAATGTCTATATGGAAAATAGTTAAAAACAAAAATAAATATTTGTCATCATTTAACATCTAAAGTAACTGTGAGTAATTATGGGATAAATATAGCTGATTACATACCAGTGCATCTTTCTGATTCTTAAAAAAATCAATATCCTCCAAGAAAAAAATAGTTCTAAATGAGTCAAATTGAACAAATTCCTTTCCCTTAAAAATGTTAACATAAATCAGAAATTTTAAAGAGATATTTTTTAATTTAAAAATATTTGAATGCTGATATTCACTTACAGCAATTGTTGCTCTTGTGCAATAAATGTCTTTTCAAATCGCAAGACATCATCCAGCATACTGGAGGACCTCTTGTAGTATGGATCTGAAAAAAAAATATTTAAGGGTTTAAGTCATACACAGATCATATTCGAATAGACTCAAATTATTTATTTAAGCCAAAGAGTGTTATCATAGCACACAGTTATTTAGTAACTGAATAATTGATTACCAGGTTGAGAAGACTTTTGAGCTGAGGTTGCCGAGTCTTTCATGTATTCAATCTTTTCATCAGCCCCTTGAGTTAAATTGGCAATTGTTTCCAGTTCATTTTGCATTGAAGTCAGTTCTTCATCTACGACTGGTATGTACCTGAACATGTAATCTGCAACTCCACATGTAGTGGGGCAGTACTTTCCCTGTACATAGCATTTGTAGAAATGTATAGTTAAATCTAGAATTCACATTACAGCATGGATATCTGTAACACTGCATCATACTTACAAAGCCATCATTCATGTTGCATGTTTGAAGGTTATCTCCTCTGATTTGCTGCACATGAAGAAAAGTAATGTCAGATATTTCTGCATAAAACAAATTATTGGATCTAGTATAAAAAACAATCCATGAGGGTTTCCTCACTTACCGCTGATGAACCGGTGAATAATATGAAAAGAATTCCCGCTGTGGCAAACAGTGACACGGCCATGTTGATCTGGCACACGGTTGTGATTATTGGTGTCCCTGCGTAGTGAAGAGCTGCTCAGCAGTCCGGGATATTTATCTGAACCAGGTCCTCCTTTCAGCCTTTGATAAAAAGGTCATGTGCAAACATCCCACTCACTTTGTTGTTCTCCAACTTAGTCTCAAACATATGACAGCAGCCAATTCCCAGACATGACGCTGTCTGACTGTTGGCGGCTGTTTGGAAATAAGGAGCTGTATTGATTTTCAGCTATCCGTAAAACGGATTTTTCCCGTTAAGACAAGAACATGACAGGTCCAGCTGTTGCCTAATTGTCAACAGTGGGTTAGGGTTAGAAATCATTGACAGTTGACACGGATGACATGTTTTTATGAAAAACATTGTAAGAAAGATTTTTTCTGGAAAAGATTGTTTGCAGAGAGAGATCGGGGGTAGTGTTGGCCTAGTGGTTAGAGCAGTGCGCTTGTGCTCTAAGAAGGATGCAAGTTCGATCCCCACACCCTCCACTCTGAGTCCCTGAGCAAGACCCTTAACCCCACACTGCTCCCCGGGCGCCGCACAATGGCACCCCACTGCTCCCCAAGGGGATGGGTTAAATTCAAAGAGTTAATTTCTCCAGTGTTAGATCAATTAAGTTCGAATAAGGAAATTCAGAACAACAATCCAAGACTGACTCTGGCTTTCTAGTAAATATTGTATAAGCTCTAACCAAATCAAATTGATCCCAAAACAAGAAAAAAGATACCATTCATCATGGAAATATACATAGTCTCTTCTGTGACACCTAGATAACAAACATAAAGGCTTTAGACCTAAGCTCCACTAGCCAAGACATGGCTTAATCTTTTAAGTAGACAGCATTTAATTTTACCAAAGATAATTGTAAAGATTTTCTTGTCAGGATCCTATTGAGATATTAGCCTGCTCTTTTATATTTTTGATTTTCTGCTTGAAGAAAAAAAAAATGTAGATCTTCATTCAGTAAATTTGTTTTAACAACATCATAGTCAAAAGCACCACTGATGATCAATTATTATTATTAATTAAAAATCCTTATGTAAAAGTAGTTTTTTAAATATCAATCAGATAAAGTAGAAAAAAGGAAGGATCCTATTTTAAGGTTTCAGGAATGAAAGCTGTTTTATGTTTTATCTGGATGGTGTTTGCAAGGTTAGCTGCACTAATTCATTATGACCACTAGTGGGAGGAAAAGTACAACCTAAGACAGATAATACCTGTAGGTCAAATTTCACATAGAAAAACTGAAGAGCTCTTGGATCTCAAAATAGACATTATCATCTCCTAACTCTAAAAAAAAAAAAAAAAAAGCAGAAAAAAGATCAACTATAATGCACCTATGTTTTGCAAAGGATTTTATTATCCTATGTTGAAATCAAACATGTTTTAAATTATTATGTATTTAAATATGCACCTAGTGCTGAAATACACTTCGGAAGTTGCATCAACTTAAATTGCCAGATAGAAATGTCAATGTTTGAATAGATATTTTATGAGGATAAACACTGGCCCTTAATCAGAGAAAATTTATAACATCAGAGGATTACATAAGATTTTCCTCCCTGCACACTGCAAAGCATTTCTGCACAATGGGGATAAGTTGGTGGCTTGATTGTTAGGCTGCATTCATGCAGCTGAGAGGCTGCTAATCATATTAAACCCAGAATGTTTGAAGGAACACAATGCTTGTTTCCATAGTCTAGAAATTTATTATTTTTTTTATTCTCGTACACTTGAAGTACTGCCTAAAGCCATGTAGACATTCTGGTTTAAAAAGACACAAATAAAAATAGTTTGGGTTAGGCCTTATATATGACTCAAGTTTAGGTAAGGGTTATTCCAGAAGCTTATTCATTGCTTAGTTATTTATTGCTTAGTTCAGGTTTCAGACAAACAGAAAATACAAAACTGTATTAATGAATCCCTTTGGTGGTGGCATCATGCTGATGCTTGAGGCGCTGAATGAATTGCACAAAGTGGATAGAATAATTAGGAGGGAGAACAAAGAAAACAATCTTCAGCTTTACTTCTAGATGAGAGCCACATGCAAAGCTTAGACATAGGTGGTTGTTCCAACAGAGCTATGGGTCTTATGCAACATTTTCATATTTTTGTTGTAAACTTCTCTTACTTTTTCTCCTACCATGGGCTCCTATTAATGTGCCACACCAGATTTAACAAATGGTCTTAACTTCAGTTAATGATCATAAATTCTTCTCATAAATAGGAGTCCACATGTGTGTAGATGCCATCAACTAACATGACATAATTCAAGAAAATCTTCTTTTAATACACACACACGCACATTTCCTGTATATCTCCAGACCACGTCTGTCACACCTTCATTGTCCTCTCCACCTTGCGGAACAAAAAACAAGGTGTCACCACATGCAACAGAGAAACATTTGACTACTATTGGACAAGTGCAACATTTCCTGGCAGTGCAATTCACCACTGTTTGAATGTTTGCAGCTTGTTTTACTCCATTTAATCCTGCTGTACAGGTACATCTTTTCCTTCACCTTTCCTTTTACTATATTCCATGCTTCACAGTTTTAATAAGATAAGGTTTTGATAGAGGGTTATTCAGCTGTAATTCTTCCAGATGCCAATTGGAAAATTACCCTTCTTTTTATGAGTTAAAATCAAACAGTGAGGAGACATATGACCTAACAAAGCTAAATAAGACTTCTTCTGTGTGCTCTGTGTTGACATTAATTTATGAATCTTGCCTTACGTAACCTGATTTTATTATATGGAACCAGGATGGAAAACCAACTGACCTCAGGATGAACGACCAAGCCCCAAAACTTAAACAGTGATGAACTTTTACTGAACTTCCCTAATAGAGTAGTAATGACATATGGGGAACGACTCTTTCTCTTGCCATGAGGGCATAGGCAGATTTTCTTGACTTCATGCCAAAGATGTGGATATATTCTTACTCAAGTCCGACGATATCCAGTCACAAAGCAAACGTCAAAATAATGCACAAGTAATGTTGTTTATGAGCTGCTCAGTTGGGCAGTGGGTAGCACTGCTAACTTGCAGCAAGAAGTTTTGATTCCCGGGGTCTTTCTGCATGGAGTTTGCATGTTCTCCCTGAGCATGTATGGGTTCTCTCCAGGTACTCCAGCTTCCTCCCAACATCCATGACTGTTAGGTTAATTGGTTTCTCTAAATTGCCCTTAGGTGTGAGTATGAGTGTGTGTGGTGTGAATGGTTGTTTTTCCCTGTGTGTTCATGTGTTGCCCTGCAATGGGTCCAGGTTGTACCCCACCTCTCGCCCGTAGACAGCTGGAGATATGCACCAGCACCCTTAAAACCCAAAGTTAGGATAAGCGTGACAGAAAATGGATGGATGAATAGTGTTATTTATTCTATTGATCATCTACACATGCAAAATGTCAAGACTTCTTTATCAAAAAAAAAAAAAGCTGGATTTATGTCCTGAAAGCCTAGTAGAACAATGCTTATCTGTCCATAAACAGCTAGTTTTTTTTTTTCTGAACAACACATTTTCACAGTTTTGATTTAGTCTGACCAGGACTTAAACATAAAGAGACTTTGTTAGGATCCTTATTAGTCTGAGCCATAAAACCAGAGCTGTTTAGGGTTACGTAAATCCTCACAGAGCACAGGACAAAGGTTTTTTTTTTATTGCAACATCAGGGTTCAGCTGAAGGCCACTACTGATGAGTGGATTTAGATGAATGAACATGATTCAAGCTAAAACATGCAACAAACATGTTTACAGATTTTGGAAACTTTTTACAATAAATGATTTGACTTTTGCGAGAAGAGACCTCTGATGGCTGGTTTCCTGGTTCATTGCTGTTTCAGTGAATAACTAATGCTCACATTGAAATTTGAAATCTGCTATAATCACATGCGCTAGATACAATTTTATGATGATATAAAAATTCTTTAGAAAACATAAATCTATTAAGGCATAGTTTTCCAACTTTCAAAAAATGTCAGCTTTCCTCCCTCAACATTAAAACCATTAATCCCTTATTATCTTCTCTTATGTTAAACACATACATTTCTGAAACACTAACAATATCTAAGATGCACAATCCCATGTGGATCTGTAATGAAGGAAGGCTCATTAATCACACAACTTCTGGTTGTAAGATAAACATTTCTTGCTTATCCCTATCGCATCAGTCATTAAGACATAGCTCAATGTTCATTAGTCTAAATTTGAAGTTTCAGAGTTTAACCGCAGACTTTTTAGATACACCATATTGCCAAAAGTATTCCTATAAATCTATTCAAATCAAGTGTTTCATCCATTTCTTCGCAACTAGTACATGAAATCTACACCCATGTAAAATAATGGCCACTCTTAGGAGCTCAGTGGACCCCAGTGTGGTACAGTGTATATTAACCTGTTAAATTTCCATGCAACTAAATAATGAGCAGAGTGTGAGTAGAGGTCAATAACTTTCTGCACAATGAATTGCTGCAAGGCTCAAAACTGTGGCCCTGAAATTAGCTCAACAACAGCACACAGGTGGCTTCATGTACTTTTCAAGGTCTAGCAGCTGTGTCCAAGCTTTACATCACAAATTGCAAACTACCTCTGTACTCCAAAGGTGGCAACATGCTCCCTGTGGTGAGAGTAACAACACTGTCTTGCAATTAAATAGTTTTTCAAAAATTGTACTTGCCTGGCTGGATTGTTTCAAGAGTAAAGTTTAGAGCCGAGGAAACAATGTGTTAGGCAGTTCTTCAGGAATTGGACTTAGCTCATTAGTTCCAATGAAAAAAGTTAAACCTTGAACTTACAAGGACATTTAGACATTTTCATGATACCAGCTTTTTGGGAGCAGTTCTTGATTAGCCCCTTCTTGTCTCAATATGGCTGTGCATCAGTGCACAAACAATAAGCCATAAAGACACGGATGAGTGTGCAAGAATACAAATGCCCTACATGAAGTCCCGACTATATTCACATTGACTCAGTGAGGTGGTTTTTACAGTCCAGGTGAGGTTGTCTGTGATCTGCACCCCCAGGAACTTGGTACTGCTGACCACCTCTACAGCTGAGCTGTTGATGAGCAGTGGAGCGTGGTTAGGCTGGTTCTTCCTGAAGTTGACGATAATCTCCTTTTTCTCCACATTCAGAGCCAGAGCCTGTTACCGTTGCACCAGCCTGCCAGCTGCTCCACCTCCTCTCTATAATCCCGGTTGATGTCATCTCTGATGAGGCCCACCATTGTGGTTTCGTCTGCAAACTTCACAATGTGATCGGTGGTGAACCTGGGAACGCAGTTGTGCGTAATCAGAGCGAACAACAGGAAACTCCGAAAGCAGCGCTCAGGGGAGCATGTGCTTAAGGTGATGACATCAGAGGTGTTCTGTCCAACCCGGACTGATAGATCCCATGTGGGTGTTTTTCTCCTCCTGGTGTGCCAGGCTCAGGTGAAGAGCAGAGGAGATAGCGTCCTCAGTGGAGCGGTTCCATCAGTAGGCGAACTGGAACCGGTCAAATGTTGGGGGGAGAATGGAGAAGATGTGTTCTTTAACCAGCCTTTCGATGCGCTTCATCATGATGGGAGTCAGTGCAACAGGCCAGTGGTCACTGAATGAGGTTACCTGAGGCTTCTTTGGGACCAGACTATTCTACCACGTTTCATTCCTCCAAAAGTGGCCAAAACTCCATGGATTAAGCTTTTGTATTTTGAGAAGTATAGAGGACTGGTCTGAAGGCTGGTGAAATAGAGGCTGAAGCAGGTGGATCAGATGAGTGCTAATGAGAACTGGGAGGATACAATTAGGTGAATGGAATGTGTAAGCAAACCAGACATCAGTCCCATCTCTCTTCCAGTCATTTTGATGCTATAAAACCTCCACAATTTTCCCCCATCTCAACTTTTCTGCCATTCTTAGTTAATTTATGATCGATGATTAATTAAAAAGCACCAGGATTAGAAAGTAACTTACAGTTACGATTATGAACATGTAAACATATTAAATTATATTTGAACAATAAATGTAAATATTATTAATCTTATCTGTTACTTGCAATTATAATTCATATTGGCTGAAGCTTAAACAGCGGAAAAGCCTTTACTTTAGAGCCTGTTATCTAAAACTATTTGACATAAGGGATTGTGGGATATTGGACAAATATGGGATGAAGATCAAAATCACCAGATTCTGAGAAGGAAAACCACAGAGAAGCTTCATAGATATAAGGAAGGATGCAGAGTGTTGGATGTGAGAGAGAATGATGCCAAGACAGGAGAAAATATCCGCTTTAGAGAACCCTAAAGACAGCAGCAACAAATAATACATCCCAATACTTTATAATGTAACATGTTAACATTTTTAACAGAGCAAATAAAACTCATCCAGACTTAATTTTAAAATTATTTTAGAAATAGTTTATTGACATATGCAATAACTCAGCAAATAAATGCAGTCAGGTAGGATTATGCTTATTTTTCATGATTCAAAGCAGAATAAATGCATTTCAACTAATCTAATTCTGTATTTTTGTCAAGCAGTTGCTGATATTGTTGACTGTGTTACAAAATGACTGTATTGTAATGTATTTTGGCTGTTTGCAGAAAAATAAAAATGTAAAGCAATGATATTTGGTTATGATTGTAAAATAGTTACAAAACTGGTTTACTTCATGATCTGAGCAAAGTCTCTTTCTATATATAAATAAAATGCTCCATAAAATGTATTTTGTGAGGAAAAGGAAAAGTAAAAAGGATGAAGAATAAAAAGCACAATCTTCAAGGGCAAAGGATCTTTTTTGCAGTTGATGATTCAAAGTGTCTAAACTTTTAAATGAGGCTATAAGCTGGAACCAAGTTGCTTCAGGATCCTTGACCTTAATACCTCCCAAAAATGTGTCAGTGTGGAAACTAAGCCACACCTCTAAAAGTGATTAGTGAAAGCTCCTTTATTTCCTCGCAAAAATACACTGAACATTGACTTGTTTTTCATCCACCACTCACAGTCTGGCTCCTCCCATTTCAGGTATTTATAAATGCTTCAGGGTCCGGATCTTTATTTCAAACTACCATAATGTTTCTCTACCAGCTGCTCAACTTTTTCTTTGCGGCCTCCAAAAAGGAGGAGGACTCTAAGTATGACCTGTCCTTGTACAAGCGTGGAGACTTACTCGAGGTGCCTAGGACTTTATTTACTCATTTTGGTATCTACCTGGGCAACAACAGGGTGGCTCACCTCATTCCAGACATCCTGCCCGCCATTACCAAGGATAAATCTGCAATAGCTAAAATGGTGACAAACAACCGCCTGTTAATGGGTGTCATCACCAAGGTGGCCAGCGTCAGAGTGGACTCTGTGGCAGACTTTGCATATGGCTCCGATATCCTGATCAATCATATGGACAAAGTGTGCAGCCAGCCTCCATTGGATGGGGAAGAGGTTGCACGAAGGGCTGAGAAGCTGCTGGGATCAGTCACCTACAGCTTGCTCTGGTACAATTGTGAACATTATGTCATGTACTGCAGATTTGGCATGGCCATCAGCTACCAGACATACCAGGTACAATTACTATTATATCAACGGTTTCAAATCAGCTAAAACAATACTTCAAACCCAAACTCTTAATTCAAACAGTTATTTTCTTAACAATATGACATTTAATAAGGGACAGACAAAGTCTTAGGCAGCTGAGTTAATTATTGTTAATGAAGAATGACCAAGAATGACTGTTTTGTGAAAAAAAAACTTATGACATAAAAGTTTTCTGTTCACATTATAAAAGAAAAAAATATATAATTCACTGGATACACTTGAGGCTCACCACCCAGGATGGCAACACCTCTGGGACAGCATGAACTATTGCCTGTCAGTTTTGGTCCAAATTTAGACTGGTCAACCCAAAAAAAAAAAAAATTTTTTTGACAAACAGATCGTCTATAAAACACATTTTGATATTTATAAACAATGGTGCTTATTGAAGTTAGCAATGTGGGTTGCTTTTCAGGGGGCATCCTGTCATGGAGCAGTGCATGGGGCACTTTATCATTGTTTCAAAACATAAAAAAAAAGCCTTTTTAGGCATTTTAAAATAATGACAAGAATCTGTTGAATCAAGCACCAACATCTTATCAAATTAAGTCTGATCTAATTATTTTGAACAAAGCTATATTTACATACATTGATAAATCAATTCTGTTTAAGATTGTTTTAATGTTTTCTTCATGTTAGTATAGGGATATAAATTTGACAGATGTCATGTGGCAAAAAGCCTATTGTCATTCATAAGTATGCAATTCAGTCAAAAAAGCTTTACAATAAAGGTCATTTTAAGGCTTTTCCTAAACAGATCTAGTTTTTATACAATAATAAAGTAATCTTATTGAGCTAGACCAAATTTAATTTAGTAAAATAAGTACATTGCAGTTTAATCCTGGTTATAATGCAGTCAAATTCAATTTTTTATGCCAGTTGGTCTTCTATTTTAGGATTTTGTGTATTTTAGGACTCTCAGTTGATTGCCTAGAAGTAGTGGTGACTGTACATTTTTATTTAGTAAAAATATAAATGCTTTTTCTTATTTCATTCACAATCAAGTGCCATCATACAGACTGTTATGGTATGGTAAAGTGAAATACGCCTAAATTATTCATGATAAATAGCTCCATCTAGTGTTAATCCGTGCCAAGTTACAGTAAACAGAACCTTCGGTGCTTCACTAACAGTGTAATACTGTCTAAGTGGTGTTTTTTCTGTTCTTTATAGTTCTGCACCACAGTGCGTAAGATCTTGTTCAGCAGAATGAGCGCCTACCTGACTGCATTGTGTGGCGTCTGCTTCATGCTGTACCTGAGCTGCGTGACGCCGCTGACGGTTCTTCTAACTGTGCTCATCTCCTTCACCATATGGATGGCTTCCTAAGCATTCAATGTAAAATAGCTCCAGATAAAAGACTGCAATCACAGATAAAGATAAAGTTCATGTTCATGTAGAATTTACTTGTTTTTTATTGTCTTCTACTAATTTGGCATGGATTTTTAAAATGAAGCAGGGACGAACAGCTCTTCAAATGACTTTTAATTAAATGTTAATACACCGCTGTTCAAATGTTTACTGAACTCTTATTGGTTGCTGTCAGAGGTGAGTAGTTTCAGTTCAGACAGTAAAATCCTTTACACACAGATTAGCCAACCATTTGAATTTCAAGCTACAAAGGACAGACAGGGTTTAATGTTTAAAACAGTGGTCTTAAACCTCAGTCTTCAAGCAATAGTGTAGTATATTGTGAAATGATCTGTTGTGCAGGGATTGTTTATGTTGTAGGAGTCTGCTAAATCTAATTTCAGCTTGGAGTGACTGTTCAATGATGTAGAAGTCCATATGCTTTTGTAATAAAAGTTATATGCACAGTGTTCACCTGAAAAGTGAGAGTTTCTGATATTTTCAAACTGGATTTTAACACAAGATGGTGTCAGCAAATTATTTCTCTGCTCTCTTTCTTCCTCCACTGAAGACACTAGACAACAACAGCTCCACGCATTGCAAGTGTTGTATTGAAGAAATGCCCCAGCATGCTAGAGCTAATAGAGGATCAAAGCGCCTTGCATTCACTGGGCTAACTGGGAATGTAAGTGATAACTGGCAAAGATTGGAGTAGCAGTATATGACACCTACAGAAGGGGAAGAGAGTCTAATCGGTACAAGTGACCATCATGCTTTGCCCAGTTAGGAGCCATTGAAATATATAATACTCCATGAAGCTGTGGGCAGGTAAGCCATGCTGCAACAGACTTTGGGTGCATCAAGAACATAGAATAATAATAAGAATAATAATTTCAAAGAATAATAATGTTCTGGTCTAATCCTAGGCCAGACGGACTCATTGTAGACAGGTTTGTGACAGAAATTTGATAAAAGTGCAAAAAAGCAAATTTTGGGTAAATGCAAATGCCATAATAAGTCACAAGCCTGTGTCACTGATGAAGCAGAGACTGTTGAGGAAAAACAGGCCTGACTCTTGATAAAGAGGTGGCTGAAGCATGGCAGAAGAAAAGTAGTATGTGCGCAGGAAACACTGTGGCAAAATGTCTCAGTGCAAGATCTAAGTAAGGTGACAATTAGAGCTGAAAAAAAAAAAAGATAAGAGGTGCTCAATATACCTGACAAAACAGTCATGTAGAAGATAAAAGCAGTTTTGACATACATAAAACACACACTCCGTAAGGCACTGTAAACAAGTTTAGACCCACATTTAGCCCAGATGTGACTGATACACACAGGACTGATACAGAGTTCTTGTCTGCTCAGGTGCTCATGAGCAGAGTATTAGGAAGCACTTTGTCCCTAGAAGCTGCACTCACATACCAACAGATGCTGGATGGAAGCCAGCCACCTTCATGGGAAAAACAGTGGAACCATATTCATATGATGATGTCATCTTCAGGGGAACAGATACAGGTACCTAAGGAGAACCCAGCCAAGTTTTCTGAGAGGAGAAGACTTTGGTAAAGAGCATTGCCCACAATATATTGCTGCATGTGACATTTTGAGCAAAAGGTAGAAATAATGGTGATTATTTAGCTCCTAAACCTTGCGTTGAGATTTTGATAAACACAACATTCCTCTCAAAGGATCTACTACCAAAAATAGAGCCCTGTGTTCTTGAAAATATTTACTAAGAACTTTTCTCCACATCTGTCTGTGCTCTGAAACTAGCTAGTGATAAATTGCAACAAAAAGTACATTTTCTCTAAGGATTACTACAATAAGGGAGTCATTTTAGTTAAATATTTAGAT